CATTATCGCTTGTCACGTGTTCATGAACTTTCACCTCGAGTCACAAGAAGGCACTTCATCGGCTGCCGACTTGTAATTAGCGTTAGAGGCTGTCCGAGAGGTTGGTCTCATGAGAAGAATGCAGTAATGCCCGGAACACCACCCTCGCTTGTTGCCTGTTGGGAAGAATGTGCGCCCATCGTCCAAATTGATGCCACGAGTGTTTTCCCGCGGGCATCGTCGTATTGTGAGCAATGTCAAAAGATGTGATCGATGTCTTTTACGTCTCCGCATGCAGTGCAGTCGAGGCTGCTTCCTTGATAGGTCCTTCCAAAGCGGTGGAATGTCTTCTTTGCGAAGGCGCTGTTTGTACGAAGTCTATGCAAAAGCGTCGCGTTTCTCCGTGTCAATATGTCTGGGACTGGTATAAAGCTTCATCCCTGGGCTGTTTCGGGGTCTGTATTCCGCCTCCTGAGGTCCCGCGCAACAAAAAGGTGTGCCTGTGGAATCGTCCCAAGTCGTATGTATAGACGCGTTCAGGCAACTTTGCATGGGCGCCGCCATCTAGGCCTCACGTGACCCGTCCGCCATTGCCGGTCTCTACTTTCGGTGGTGAGCTTCGTCAGCCGCCGTCGGGGTGTTCTATACGATGGAATCCGACTGTGAATGGGTCGACGACAGAAAATTATGCCCTAGACTTGAGAAACCATGTGAGTTCATGGCATCTGTTAACGTCCGGCAATAACAGTGGTTGAAACCCAGTGCGACATGTGTACATGTCGAGTTGACACGGCAAGACTATCGTAGTCTCCTTATCCATCGCTTTATGAGCGTACTTGTCGCGGTCTTGTTTCTGGCCGCATTTGGGCACTTCAATCAGGTCAGCTATTCGACAAGCGAAACACTTGTCCATCAGCGACGGCATCGGCCGTCGCTGAGGCGGATTCCTCGCTGCGCCTCGTAGCTCGTCAGAAAAATATCGTGTTCGATGTCGGGTGCATAAGCAGACAAGATATATGCCTTGGGTAGACTGTCCTCAAGTTACAAAGCTGGTCCGGGAGTGAATTGTTTGCGTCCAGTTGCCACGTGAGGCGACGAGGCGCTCAAGTCGCTTTCCGACGTAACTCTTCAAGGAGATAGGTACGCTGAAAGGGTCGCGTGAGGTTCGCCAGGCTTGGGGATCACATCGGAGACATTCCATACTGCAGGGAGCTGTGCGGTGCGTCGCACCTTATTCAAAGAGAAGGGCGGGAAGGTGACTCTCGTCCCTTCCTGTCCTACTCTTTGAATAACCGACAGTTATGTTTTGCAACGTACTACGCCCTGCGCGCCAGCACACCCAAGCTATACCCAAGCAAACAAACAGGCCCAATAAAAAAAAAAAAAAAAAAAAGCAGCTCGCGGCTATTTTTGTTGTACGGCGACGCAACGTGCGTGACCGCCTATTAGAGAGATTGTAGAGAGAGTCCATATCAGACCACGGGGAACGTCTGCAATTTAATGGCGGAAGCCTCCTGCAGAGATTAGTGCGCATGCGCTGGGATTTTGCGTGGCGAGGAGGAAAGCAGGTGGAAAGGCGAAGACCTTTGCAGACACGCTTTCGGCACCGTCTCGGAGCTCGAATTGCGAAGGAAGAAACCACGTGAGCCCGAACAACCGTTTGGACACTCTGTAATAGAGGCTCTCTGTCATCTATTTTTTCAGTCTCTCCCGACGAATGGAACGGCCCGAGAAGAGCCGTGCGCGCCAAAAAAACAAACTTGGAGGCCATTGTGAAGCAGAAATGCCATTCCCCGCCGAGAACGTGCCTGGCGGCTGGGACTCGATTCAATGGTCCGTAAACGCAACAAACGCGCATTGATTACATTTTGACGAGACAATGGAATGGACCCTCGAAAGTGGGGGATAATGTCCCTCGGATCGTCCTTCATCTAGCTTTCCTCATTTCATTTTGCAGTTCCTTTCCAGCCCTTCCTCCAAGTGCAGAGTAGCCTGCTAGAGCCATGCGCTCAGGTTAACTTCTCTGCCTTTCAATCACCCTCTCTCTCTCTCTCTCTCTCTAGCTCCGAGGGGAAAAAAAATGCAATAGCATGTTTGTGTTAATTGTATCGACCAGTATATCTTTCTGCTTCTTAGTTAATAAAACAAAACAAAAACAGAATGACAGGTTTTTTTTTAGTTTTTTTCTTAGCAGTGCCGGCTACTCGTTTGCATTTGAAAATAAACTACTTAAATCCCTCCAGCATTCCCAACTTTCAGCGATGGTGGTACCGCGGTGAGAGAATTGCGATAGCTCCTAGATGATAGGCTTCCCACATCTTCTTGGCGTGAAAGAATAAAGCTCTCTATCGCTGGAATAAAAAAAAAAATTAGTTACACGTTGCAGATTTAACCTCGTATACAGCTGTTCTACGACGATCATCCAGATGACAGCCATTTTGATAAGAACTAGTGCGCCCCTACAGGAAGTGGACCGGAATGAATAGGCGATTATTTTTCGATGGCCGGCTATTCGCGAAAACAGGCGTCGACCGCCATTCGCACAGTCATTGGCGTCAGAGAGGGGCGTGGCGACGATGCCCGGGTCGGCAAAGACCGCTTCGCCGCCTGAAACGGCCTCTAAGAAATGAGACGCACCTGATGAGCGGCGATGAATCTTGCGGGCATTTACTTTTTGGTCACCCGCAGTGTTTTGCAGTCGTGCAGCCAGGCGAAAGGTGTTCGGCGGCCGCTTTTGAGTACCGTACGCACGTGTCAATGAACCCAGCCGCTCTGGCGAGCGACGCGGAGAAAGGCTCCGGCACAATGTTGACCCATTGGGTCGCAGGCGTCGTTAGCCTAGAAGCATTTGGGCAAACGTCGCCACCGACACAAAGGCGGCAGCGCAACTCTGATGTGCAGGATACGGCTTGCGGAACGGAGCGTGGCTCTCCGCTCTCCTAAAAACGGGTTTTGTACGCGCATGCCTGCGCCCACGGCTCCTCCACAGAAACGGGCCAGTTTGAAAAACTCAAGCCGTTGACACGAAACAAATTACGGGAGAACGCTTAAGCTTCGCCTTTCAGACTGAAACGCGATTTCTTAGAAAGGTACATAAACTCTTTAACACGTATTTGGAAAGCCTGAGACACGATCTATTTTTGAAATGTGGGAGATCATCAAGCGGGAATCAAAAAGGCTGGCGATGGAAAGCTCTTCCGTTTTAGCGTTCGAGGCGCGAATCGAAGAAGGCAAATTAAACAACGATTTAGAAGCGCTGTCAAGAGCGGACGCCCCGTAGAGCTCTTAAAGATATGTCAAGGAACGGCTGGAGAAGTTCCACCAGTGGAGCGCAGGGGAGCAACTGTCCGGGCTCGCACTCACAAGTATCAGCTGGGAGAGCAACCGAAGAGACCAAGTTTAGTACACGAGAAAAGGTTCGCGCTGCGTAACGAGATAAGCGAGATCGAGCACCAAGGAGTGACAAGCACTAGAAAAAGCTTGTGGGAACGCGTGGGATTGGAAGGAAGGATTCCATGTGTGAGAAAGTTGCCGCAGTTGGCAGAGGAGGAGAAAGAAAAGCTGGCACAGTCTTTCTCTTTAGAAGAACTCGCACCTCAAAGATGCCGAAACCCGATGGCCCATGTTCCGATTTAAAAAAAAAAAAAAAAAAAAAAAAAAAAAGAAGAAGAAGAAAGTTTATATATATATACATTGTTTCCAGCGTTCTAATGGAAGTATTTTCTAAAGCGTACGAGCGCAAAATATTGCGCTTGTATTTTCTCCGTCCCTGCTCCGTGGCCCGGTTACGCTTGCGGCTAAGTCATCGACTCCGGCACGGCTGTCTGTAAGAGGCTATGCACCGTCCCACAAAAGGGCTTTTGGCAGCCGTCATTCCCGCAGAAAGGGAAGTCCTGCGCTCGTCGACTGTTATTCTCGCGCGCTTGGCCTTTCGTGAACAGCTCTAATTCCTGTTGACAAACAGCCTCTTGCAGCCAAGTGCCTTCCGGTCGGCCCGTTTCGGTAGGCCTCCCGAGCTTGGTTATTGCCCCCCCGACTTGAGATTTCCTTCTGTGTAACAGAATACGAGAAGATCGGTCGTCTTACGACAGTATTAGAAATCTAAAACGAGTCTCCCGATGCATTTTATGTCTTAAGGACGTCGAGAGCAGCGGTGTCGTTGAAGCCTCGCCTCGGGTTCTTTCATATCATCCGCGAGTGTACTCTTGCGCGAGTGTCGCTCCTTTGCTTCGGCGTTTCGTGAACTTGGCGCGTGCACGCGCAGCAGAAGCACGACGGAAGGCGAATGCTATCGGAAAGAGACAGCTTCGTGTCCGGCGGTAAACAACCGCGCCTTGCACGGAAATTCAGGCACAGCCTTCTTTTTTGAAAACAGCACTTAAACGCAGTCTTTTTTGCTTTTTTTTATGAAGTAGGTTTTTGCTTTTCATTGTGCACCCGCCCAGATTCGGCTCTCGAGGTCCGTCTTTTGCATCGCTGTCGACGTTCTGCTCTGAGAGCAAAACCACCGCCATCACCTCCTCCGCACACCCGAATATGTTGAAGTCGTTGATCTCGGCACAAGGCGACAGATTGTCAAGTGGATAGATGTAGCGCGAATCGGAGCAAGGCCAAGGTCGAGCCGAATGGCGTGAAGCAGTCGAGGCAACTCAAATGTTGCCCACGCAAAAGTAGCCAGGTCGTTACTTCGGCACCGAAAAAAAAAAAAACACGAATTACATAAATAAACTAAATAACGAAGAGGCCGTTCTTTACCACTCGATACATCGTTTTTTTATTTACATTTCTTTTTTTTTAACGGGCTCGCTTACATTAATTGGAGCGATCGATCGAACGTCCCCAATGACTAGAAATTATCGTTCGGAGTCTGTATGGTTACCCTCGCAAGAAGTCTTTCGTTAGCTCTTCACTAATCTCAGCAAACACGCGTACTGTTGTGGCCGATCCGACAATTAAAAAAAAAAAAAAAAAAAAAAAAAAAAAAACAGTAGGGATGGAATTTGGCGCCGTTGCAAACTCACCTGCCCCCGTCACTGAGACCCATGGTCGAGCCCCGGGCGCGTCATCCAACAGAAATCCGGAGAGACAAGATGCGAAATCCGTTCGGTCGTGGTGGCACAGGCAAAGCTAGCCTCGAAACACCGAAGACACTCGCGTGCGGAAACGCCGAAACGAGGATGCCATTCCACTTGATCAGCAGGAACGCCAGGCTTGTCTCGATAGCCGGCACACACAATCACAGCAGGGCACGAGGGATCCTGCTCCCAATGGCGTGGACGGCCACTCCAGGCGCCCCCATACACACACACACACCGAGGCAGCTGCCGGAGAGCGCTACGACGAGCGCACGTCGCGTCGTCTGCTAGCGGCGATGCGATGCCAAGACGAGCAGACGACGACCCAGTTCGAGGTCACGTGTCGACGCTACCGCCACTTCCTCTAGCGGCGAGTCGCCCAAGCTTCCTTTGTTTGTTTGTTATTCTACGTATTGTCTTCTCCCTTTGTTGGTGCTGCACGCTTCATGTGCATTCTCCGTGGAAAAGTTTCGAGAAACCACGGAACAATGCGATTCCTATCGACTCTCACCCGAAAGAAAAAAAGAAACGAAAAAACAAAGGGAAAAGCGCTCTTTGTTTTTCCTTAGTTTTGAATTTGTATAAACTTCCAATATTCTTAAAGAATGCCATGCCCAAAATGATATCAGTAATTTGACTTTTCTTGAAATGTTCGCAACAAATTTTACTGAAAAAAAAAAAAAAAAGGCTGCAGGGTATCGGTTTATAATAAATAAATGATCGTAAAATTTGCGAGCGCCCTTCGAGCCCTCGGACGCTGTTCTATCGTTATCCGGCGTGATTAAGCCGGCCGTCGCGCGCCTGCCCGCACAATGCCAAAAGATAACAGGTACTGCATGAGCGACAAAATACGAGGAAGCGAGCCTTTACTCGAAACGCATCTACGATTCCAAGTTACTGAAGAATGGATGACGAGGCTCGACCAACGCGACCGCGACTTGGTTGTTGGCAAGGTATCCCGACAGAACATCGAGAGGGCTGCATGAGGGAAATCGGAGCAAAAAAATTATAGTCAATCGCAACTCAAGAAGGTATAGGGCGAGGGCCTTCCTTGCCCTACGTTAGAAACACTCGGCCCTAGGGGTCAACAAACCGTTTTCGAGCCCAGTCACTGGGTTAGACTCTCACCGGCGTTCCTGCTAACCCTAACCGAGTAGACTGTAATTTCGATAGGCGCAGTTTGAAACACTGCTGGCGGTTAATTTTCGTCCTTTTCCGCTGTATTTTGTGTTTCATGCTGTATGTATTTCCTCGAGGACATTGAAAAAGCATTGTACCACGTTTAAAAAACCAAAAAAGCAACAAATAAAAAACTGTAATCTATTTTTTGTTGGGTACGCGCGCGACAGAACGATTGCGACTAAAATGCTAGCTGTAATTTTCTTTTTTTTACGACAAGTTTTTTACGGCGCCGCGTGTCAAACGACAAAGCGCTTAGCTGTCGAAAATAATTTACGAGGGAAGATAGCCTAAAATCATGCATTTTTCACGCTCACAAATAACGTGTTTACCGAAGGACTAGGACACGGACATCCAATTTAGCGAGTGTTAACACTAGAACAATATATTGTACGTGACGCTGGAAATATTTCATTTGAAAAAACATCTCAAATAAATAACGCAGACACTGTCAACGACAGTCACATCTCGACGATCGGACGGAATCCAAAATGACTTCGCTTTGGGGTACGTTTTGGGGAGAGCTTCCTTTGTTCCCACCAGCACCAAGAGAAAGGAAGGGGCGCGACTATTTTTGGAAAGGACTCTGCGCGGATTATCTCAGGATTATCGCAAAATTGCGTCGAGGGCCGTTCGACGTCCTTCCCCTCCTACCCGTGAATGTCGAGCAGAAACGCTTGAATGGCAGGCACCTACCAGCCCCATTTCTCACAGTGGAAGATAACCAGGGTCCCGTGTTTTCGGAGTTGACTTTTCGTCAAATTCGGAGGATGTTTTTTCTGAGTTTATTTTTCGCCGACGATTCAGAGTTTATCAGAGTTTATTTGGTTTGATTCCCAGTTATCCAAAATTCGGAGTTTAATTTCGCAGCGTTCCCTATTAAAAATAATTAAACCAATATTAACCAGATGCAAACGTATGCCAGATAAAAAATAATAAGCGGTTGTGTCTATTAAAATTTTCTCAGCTGAATTTGGAGTTGGTGCCATTGCCATTGACAATACTAATTTATCCCACGACAAAAGTCGCACAAAAGTGTTGCTTCGATACCTTAAATCAATACACTCCCGGAGGTAGTCGCTCGGAAGCTCGTAGTCACCCCATCCTATTCCACCAATCTAGCCCGCGGCCGCGCGAGGTGGAGTGGTTAAGGGGATTGTCCGGTCGAAATCGAAAGTACTCAAGTTTTTTGCGCTCGTTACGTCGAGGAAGCCATCATATAGACAAACGTCATTTTTATTTTGATATCTGATATACCCTTATTAATTAAACCTTTCATGAACGTATGTACGAAACTCCACACCGAATTTCACCAGTGTCAATGGCTTACATCCGTATAGCTGCTGCGTGACTGCACAAAAACCCAAACGATTGTCGGATGGTCCGGGTACCAAGCATTGGTCGATGTTTGTCTCGTATTTTGTTTCGAACTATATAGTCTCCTAGACTGTACCCTACTGAAATACGTTTCTTTTAATGCAGCTCCCAGGCGCGTTCAAATAAAGTCACGCCTTTTAGCGAGATATTACTCGACACAGCCATAAGCTTCGAGCAAACGTATGCCGTTTCGCGCAAACACATCTGCGACGGCCGCCGATCGAACTAGGAGCGCTTGCAAAGCAAAGGATGCAGAATTTGCCTCTGAAGCGGCACTGAGCTACACGAAGCGGGATCTCGGTCCACATATCGGCGGATCCACTGGATCGGTGATGAGGCTGCGGGTCGTTCCTCGGAGGCGATGTCCGCGGGTCGAAGACAAACGGCGAATTGTTCAAATGCATGTCGACACTTGACTTGGACGAGCTTGGTATAGATATACCAGCAGGTGTTTCAGCGAAGACTTACAAAAGTCCTGAAATTAGTGTATTCGAGGTAAAAATATAATTTTCTGAGCCGATGGAGTGCATTATCGTGGCAATGCCCCTTTTTAACTCGCGGGTCAAATAGAATCGGGCTGCACGCGTGCTAAATACAACTTTTGGCAACGTTTCCAGAGGGCCTAGCTGGTGGTTTCGGTTTCGCTGCATAATCAAACCGATTGATCCGATTTTGGCGAGGTGTGGGTGGGCGTAGTTGAGTATCGGTGGCACAGCATCACACTTCAGCTTACGAGCCTTCTGTCCGCTTAGAGCTCAGCTCGTAGCTCTCTTCTGTGAGCTGCATAAGCGGGATCTCGATCTTGACGAAAACCCAGTCCCTAGGCACGGCGACGATCCATTTTGCTCGTCACTGCACGTCTCGCGGAAAAGTGCGAAACGTCACGTCTTGGCCAGTACGTACTGCCCGGTAGTTGTGCCACCCAACCGCGCAACAAAAATCTCACCCATTCATGAAAAAAGTCAAGCGCAACAACAAAAACGAAGCACGCTGCGGCGTCCACTCGCAAGCGAATGCTCGCTTTGCGCTTTGTGACGTCAGAGCTTCAATGCTGCCAACGAAAGCAACGTTTACGCTAGGATGCGATTGGAGCAGTATAAATTCAGCTACTCATGCAGAGGGGCACATAAAATTCAGATATTGCACGTGCGATGCGTCTCGAGGCAATACCAATAATATTAAATTGTTTTCTCGAATACAAAATTTGATCCGACAATCCCTTTAAGCATGTAATTGAGAAGTTTCAACTGTCCCTCTTCCCTATTTTATACAATCTCTATGGTCCATAGCTTTCACTGTTACAGAAACATAACCTACCCTGCGTCACACATACTGGACGTGCCCCCTCATCCCCCCCTTCCCCCCGAAATCACCTCCTGGGAGGAGTGGCTGGCGCCACCCTTAGACATCGGCGAGCGGACCCTTCAAGCCCTCGCGGCTCATGCCAAGACTGTCTCGGCACAAGTGCTTCAGGAGTACCAGGTCCTGACCACATCCCCCCACCCCTAGGAGACCTGGACCAGGGTTTCCTGAGTACAAATGAAGTTCGTTCTCTCTCTCTCCTTTCCCCAAAGCACAAATCGCCTGGCCCAAAGTGGAAACCAAAAGAGTGGCTTTTGTCGTAACCAGAATGCACAATGACTTGTTGCCGTGAATCAAAACCTTGACGGGACAAGAGGTGAGACCTTTTTTGACAACGGTCCGATATTGGAAAGATAATTATGGTGGCATTTTCCCAAAAACAATTGACACTGCGCTAATCAAATTGTAAAAAAAAAAGAAGATTTTTACGGTTTTTTATTTATTTATTTATTTTTTTTTTTTTGGGGGGGGGGGGGGGGCACATAAACATTTGGAGTTTATCGGATCAATTCGAATTGACCAGAATTTTACCGGCGAGTGTTTTTCGGATTTATCTAAAAACACGGAACACTAAAGAGAACAGAAAGGATACAAAGCATGCATCGGAAAAATTAAGTGGAAACTTTCGAGAGGGGCCAGAAAACGTCAAATGCAAAACCGCAAAAGATAGAATCGCGCTGAGCGGGTTTCCACAGTCCAAGAGAGTGACAGAACATTTCTGGCTGTTAGGGGGCGCAAGTGTCGTATCAGCAACATGGCGGCGACCTAGGAGCGTTTTTTGGAAAGGTGTATAGTGACGAGGCAATTTCCGGCAAAGGAATATGCTTGTTTTTGGAACAGTTAAAAAAGTGATTGCATTTGAATGTACTTTTGATTGCGCCTTCGTCCACCTTCTCGGCCTCGCGGTTTTTTTTGTTTTTTTTTTCGCTTTTTTTTTTATGGACGCACGTTAGCGCGTGACCAGGACGGGAGGGAAGCAGCGCGCTACGTTCAGCTTGTTTTCTCCAAAGTTCCGCGTTCACCAATACGAGGCACTTGATCGTTCTGGATTGAGCGAGGGGGAAAAATTGGCCACGACTCGTGCCCAATATTTTGCCGCGTTCGGCTTCACCGATGGAACACGAGCCGAAAGCTGACGCCATGTCCGCCTACATTGGTCGAGCGCCGCGTCAAAACACAAACAACATGTCGTTGTCCCCGTCGGCGTAGTTGTCAGCAGGGAGTTTTAGCGAACCGTTTTTCGAGCGCACGGTTCCAAAATGACGAACGGTGCAGCTGGTCCGCTCGGTGAAACTGTACCTGAAATGTGACATACTTTAGCGAATCGTGAAACTGGCGCAACCGGGTAAACGAAGATGGCGATTGTGTTTGACCGGTAGCGCCATCTTCTAGT